ACATACTCCAGCCTCACCTTACTTCCCCCCCCCACCCAGAATTCTGGTTTAGATGGTCTGAGAGGAAGGGCCCAGGTAACCAGTGGCTTTTAAATCTCCGTACATGATCCTGATGTGCAGTCAGAGCTGAGAACAACTGCTTTGAGTCAGTAATCTTAGTTTTAGCAGGCCCTTCCAGAATTTTCCCAGAGTGGCATATCTGGGAGGAAATGAGCCAAGTGTGGTTTCTAACTTCCATGTTCCTTGTTAAGGAAATTCAGATATTCTTTCTTCAGTATACCTTACACAGTGGCATGCTGACAAACACTAAATCACTAGTTCTATCAAGTCCTGATGTGCAGTGCTTGCCAATTTCCCTAGTGTACATATTCCCACCATGGCTGCTTTCAATTTATCCATGTGATGTCACTGAATGCAGAGTTGGGAGAGATGCGCCTGTGTAAAGTGGCTCCAGCGTGACACTGAACGTAAATGACAAAGACTCCTACTGAGCCCAGGGAAGCCATTCCCCAGTAGGCGCCTTCCTAGACTTGACCCTGCCAAATCCTTCCCTTTGTTCATGCATGTGGAGAGGAACCACTCAGTAGCCACAACACTGCTGATATGGAGTGCCTCCAGGAAGCTTCCTTAATCTCCGAGCCAGAATTAATTTTGCCCTCTTCTGTATTCTGATGTGCTTTTGGTACCCCTTCTCTGGCACCTTCTTTGGGATGCCATGCATTGACACACTTCTATCTCTCCAACATCCCAGAAAGCTTCTTGAGGGCAAGGAGGCCTGTCTTTTCGTTTCATGCCTGTATTTCCTATTGGGGAGCTTCCTAGCAATGCTGAGTTCATACTAAATAACTTGTCAGAATGGAAGCCTGGAATCTTTTTTTCCTCCCTCATTCTTTTTTTTAAAGATTTTTATTGGGATCCCTGGGTGGCGCAGTGGTTTGGCGCCTGCCTTTGGCCCAGGGCGTGATCCTGGAGACCCGGGATCGAATCCCACATTGGGCTCCTGGTGCATGGAGCCTGCTTCTCCCTCTGCCTGTGTCTCTGCACCTCTCTCTCTCTCTCTCTCTCTGTGACTATCATAAGTAAATAAAAATAAAAAAAAATTTAAAGATTTTTATTTATTTATTTATTCATGAGAGACACACAGAGAGAGGCAAAGACATAGGCAGGGGAGCCCACTATGGGACTCGATCCCAGGACCCCAGGATCACACCCTGAGCCAAAGGTCTCAACCACTGAGCAACCCTGGCGTCCCACCTCCCTCACTCTTCCTATTTTTCTCCCATCACCATATCATCGATCCTACCTCTGCTGATTTATCTGCCAGAAGTATATAAATACCATTCTATTTCATAGCGCCTGGACTCATGGTGATACACAAAGCAGACATCTCTGATTACAGATGCATCTGATCTCATGTAACAAAACTTGAGTGTGAGCAGAACGTTTCTCAGCTGCATCTGTCTTTAACGTAGGATGAGAGTCTCTTACTTGAAGGAATCTCATGGTTATGTTAGTTTCCTGTTGCTTCCGTAATGAGTCAACACAAACTTAATGTTTTAAATGATACACATCTGTTCTACAGAGGCCAGAAGTCTGGGTCAAGCCTCCCTATGCTAAAATCAAGTGTAGATAGGGCTGCATCCCTTCTGGAGGCTCTAGGGAAAAATGGCCTTTTCTGGCTTCTGGGGCCACCCACAAGCCTTGGCTCACGGCCCCTGAATCCGTTTTCAGTGCCAACAAGGTCAGGCCGAGTCCTTCCTACCTCTCATTACTCTGACTTTCTCTCCCACCTCCCTCTTCTACTTATAAGGACCTTTGTGGGGACACCTGGGTGGTTCAGGGGTTGAGCATCTGCCTTTGCCTCAAGGCATGATTCCGGGGTCCTGGGATCAAGTCCTACAGTGGGTTCCCCTGCCTGTCTCTGCCTCTCTCTCTGTGTTTCTCATGAATAAATAAATAAAGTATTTTTTTAAAGTACGCTTTTGATGACACTGGGCCCACCTGGATAATCCAGAATAAGTTCCCTATCTTAAGGTCAGCTGATTTGTTCCATCTGCAACCTAAATTCCCCTCTGCCATATCACATGATCCAGGGTTCTGGGGATTAGAGCACAGGTATATTTGGGAGTGGGCCATTATTCTGCCTAGGAGAAACATTCCAGTGCAAAATGGATCATTCTCCTGTGTTTTTTTTCATATGCACTGTATCGCTTGCTTCAAGTAGCATGTACCTGAACTATCCACCACCTGGCAGTTGCATCACCAACCTAAACATATGCTGTTTCCCACTCAGCAAGGTGAAACCTTCTCCTAGCCCCCTCCATTCACCAATGAGATGTCCCATTTATCCCATAATGTGGTCTCTCACCTCTCCAACCACCCACAATTTGGATCCTCTGTGTGCTGCGTGCAGAGCCCCGGTCTTCAGTGTCCCCAGGATCCCCAGAAGCAGGCAGTAAGGGTTAGGTATAATAAGACATATATGTTGTGTGTGCAAGGGAGGAACATGTGTGGGCATACATGTGCACGCCCATGGTGAGTCCATATGTTTCCATACGCTGGCTCTTTTACATGACCACTGCTGTCCCTCCAGCTCAGGCCCTGCCCTTGTCACTTCACCCCTGCACCAGTGCCACCAACCCCACCTCGCCTCCCTGGCTTCCCAGCAGCCTTGCCTTTGAAGCTTTTAACCAGCTTGTTCTGCCCACCCTCAATCTCCAATCTATTTTTCTTGTTATTGTCCTCTCCAGCCAAGCAACTATGCTTATCTACCTGCACATATGGCTTGCTTATTTCCATGCTTGCTCTCTGCCTGTGGACACATCCCACCTCTCTCTCAGCTAATCCATGCCTATTGCTTCAAGATCCAGCTTAAAACAGTCTCTTGTGGGAAGCCAGTTCTGGTTGACCCCTTCCCGTTCTTTCGTTCCATGTTCTGCATAATATTCACCTGCAAAATTTACTTCCTATTAACTCTCCGTCATTGCTGTTTTGCTTTTCAAACAATAACTAGTCTCATTTGTTTAGTACTCGCTACGTATTAGGCAACATGCTAAGTAAGACCTTTTTAAGTACGTTTTCTCAGTTAATCCTGAACCACCACCTTTGTGGTAGGCCTTTCATTGTGCAGTTGAGGAAATCAGTGTTCAGAGAGGTTTAGACACTTTGTCAAGGCCACACAGTTAGGAAGTGGTAGAGCTGGGAGTTGAACCTGATCTGTCTGATTCCAGAGCTCCATACATGTTCTGATGTTGTGTTATTAAGGCAGGCTATGTGTCTTTGTGGGTCTAGTCTCCCCAGTAAGAGTGTGGTCCCTCCTGGGCAGCATTCATGCCCACACCTGTGGCTGGATCACTCCTAGAAATGAGAATAGTGCTCCTCACTCAGTCTATACCCACTGACCCTGTACAGCTTGGTTTCTTCTGGAGCTCTGGACCCAGAGGTCAGTGGTTCTTAAATCTGGCTATACTATAGAATCACTTTGGGGGCGCCTGGGTGGCTCAGTCAGTTAAGCATCTGCCTTTGCCTCAGGTCATGATTCCAGGGTTCTGTGGTTGAGCTCTACATTGGACACCCTGCTCAGCCGGGAGCCTGTTTTTCCCTCTCCCTCTGCCTGCCACTCCTCCTGCTTGTGTTCTCTCTCTCTCTCTCTCTCATCAAATAAATAAATAAAAAATCTTAAAAAAAAAACAAAAGAATCACTTGGGGAGCTGAAAAGTAAATAAGTCCTGATGCCCAGGCTGCACCCCGACCAATTCGATCACAATATCTGGAAACAGGACCCAGGCATCTGCATTTTTAAGATGCCCACAAGGAAATTCTATAGGGCAGCCAATGTTGAGAATTACTTGTACAACACAGAAAAAGATTCCGTCAGAAAGTCATTCCTTTATTTTAAACCTTTTTTTTGTTTTTCTCAGGAAGTCAGATCTACCCTGCATGCATCTTCCTGTTTTTCCTCTCTCTTCCCTACCTATCCATTTGGCTTTTTACCCAAAAACATCTGAGGAGGGCAGCGATCATTGGTTGAGGAAGTGGCCGCAAGCCAATTAGAGATCAGCTCCAGGCAGGTTCCTAAACCAATGGGAATACTGGAAATCACAGGTGGAGAAATTAACATATTAAAGCTTTCTGAGTTTCACAAAGACAAAAACAAATAATTTGCTCTTTTAGCAACAGCAAACACTCCATCTCTTAATCTAACAACATCTCCCCTTGGGAAATCCTTTAAGAAAAGAAAATTGCATCTCCTCTAATAGCTTCTGCCAGCTGGCAGGCAAGCCTGCCCCCCACCCATACTGGTTACTGGGTGTTCAACACGAGAGCATGGAAGGTCTGGCTGACCGTGGCTGCCAGACTCTGCACAGGTAACAGGTGCTTGCCAGTTGGAAGGAGCCCATCTCTGGAAAAGGTTCTAAGATTCTGGAAGGGTGGGACTCTGGGAGGTAAAATGTGGACGAGGTTCTGCCTGTTGCACGTCTCCCCACCTCTTTAGGTCTGTCCACATACTCAGGCATCCCTGCCTCCACAATTCCAAGGACGTACTCTGGTAGGGTTCCACAACTGGTGGGCACATATCCCTTCTGCTTCTGGGGTGACCAGATAGGGCCTGGGGAGGGCCACTGTCTCTGGGGCTGGACCAGTTATCCCATCATTCCACACAAGTGCTGTGCTGTGACACAAGAAAGATTGGGAAGCCACAGTCTGGGGATCACTGAGAGTTGCATTCCCCTGCCCTCTGCTGAAGACCCCATGTGGGTTGATGTGCAGTGCAGCCTTCCCCAGCACTGGCTGACCCTAGCAGGTGGTCAAGACAGCATGCCCCACACACAGGGCTGAGAGAGGAAAGAAAGAAGAGTGTGGAGGGGCCCAGGGTCGGAACTGCTTCAGAATCACTGACTCTCACCGACAAGGCTCAGACTCTCCTTTCTCTCATTCACTTCTTCCTCTGGTCCTAGGCCTGTCCCTGGAGAGAAGGGGCTCCACAGAGCTGGGCTCACCTTGGCATCCATGATGCTGGTCTCCACCCGGGCCACGCCCTGGTTCTCCCGGAACAGCTGGATCTTACTGATCTTGCTGAACTCCGACAGCACAGTGGTGAGGTTGGTTTTGAGGTCAATGACGTGGCTGATGCCGTGACGGGGTCCCACCAGCAGAGTGGTGGCTGACTGCTTCTCGTCCTAGGGTCCAAGCATGGTAGGCGGCATCCACAGAGAGAAGGGTGGAGGAGGTGACAAAGGAGGCAGGAGGAAACAGAAAATAGGCATTGAACTGGTTCTGCTGGGAGGTCTGGAAACATCTGGGTCTTTGGGCCAGGACGGGAGGACAATGGTGAGGGGAAGATGGTATGGGGTGCTCCTGTTCTCAGGGCAAGCCTGGGGTCAGTCACCGATTTCAATGGACACCTGGGGCTCAACAACTGGCTAAATGAGGTAAAGAGTAGCGGGGCTGGCTCTAGCACAATCGTGATGTGGATGAGGCTTGTGTTTTAAAGCTCTGCTGCATCCTCTTCCGGCCAAGCCTCGGGGGTGGGGGGGCGGGTTTCCATTCATTGCTGCGGGCCACTCCAGGCCCCCCACCCAGGGCTATGAATCCTGTGACACCAGTGGCATCCTGTGTCTGTTTTCTACATCCTTGCCCAAGAGCCACTGAAACTTACACTCCTCACCTGGTGCCAGAAGCTAAACGGACACTCTGCCTAAGGTGTTAGTAGTTGAAAGGGTGCTTAAGAGCAGGTTTGGGGGATCTGCCTCCCAGACATTTGCTCTTTAACTGGCAAAACCCAAAGGAATGGCCTATAAGGATTTCAGCAGTGGTGTTTTGGTGGTGTGTGTGGGGGTGCAGGGGTGGAGGAAGGGGGTAGGACTTTCAGGGATCTGCAAATCCCAGTATGTAAATTGTCTACTTCAGCACCTGATGGACTGGATTCCCTTAAGTGGTCCTGACAGGCTCCTGAGCACCATCAAGCCTGAGCCCTCTGCTGGTCCATTCCCTGGCAGTAGCATCACCCCAAGGAACCTCTTTAGGTCTGCTACAGACACTTTGATAAGCGGCTTTCCAGCAGTGTGCCCCACGAGCATGATAGTATGTTCCCCAGAGCATGACAGGCACCTGGATCCAGTCAGCAAGGTGATTTGAATTTCCTTTCACCACAGCTCACCAGGGTGAGCCAGCCTGGGGCACAGGTTCAGGGAGACCAGCTGTGCATTGCCAGACAGGGCGTTACTGCAGTAGAGGCCTTGGGCAGGTAGGGGAAAGCAGGCAGACTCAGAGAGCCGGGATCGGGGGGCTGCAGGGGTATGGGAAAGGCAATGAAGCAGAGCAGGGGATGGCAAATTCTGGCCCAAGGGCCCAATCCAGTCCATCACCAGCATTTGCACAGCCCACACTCTCAGAATGATTTTTACATTTTTAAATGACTGGAAAAAATTCAAAAGAACCATATTTTGTGACACGTGAAAAATCACATGAAATTCAAATTTCAGTGCCCATAAATAAAGAGATATTGGAATACAGCCATACTCAATGTGTCTGCATTGTCTGTGGCCGTTTTTGTGCTGCAGTGGCAGCTAAATAGTTGTGACAGAGACCCGCATGGCTTACAAAGCCCAAAACACATGCTATCTAGCTCTTTACACAAGAGGCTTGCTGATGCCTGAAATGGAGGAAAGGAGATGCAGAAGGGTCATGGAGGGATAACCGAAAACAAATATGGCCTCCTACTTGACCATTTTACCAGAGGCGGGACTAGAGCATCACGGGAAGGGAGAGGGAGGAAGAGGAGGAAGAGGAAGGTCTTTAGAAATATTTGCTGACAGAGAAGGCCACGCTAAGGCTCTAGTGGAGTCTCTCCTGCCCCCCACCCAAGCACAAGTGCACATAAGGGACTCCCTCCCTGCCACGGCCCTCACTGACCAGTCCCACAGTGTTGAACAAAACGCCCGTGAAGGTCGGAAGTTCGTTCAGAATTCGAAGATACTGGAGCTTTGCCTGAATTGCAGAGCCCTGTGGAAACAATCCATCCAGACATGTGAGAAGCCTGAGTGGCCCAGGAAAAGCAAACATGTATCCTCAGGAAGGAATGTCAACATCGCAGGACGAGGTGCTAGTCAGACTCATCAGCAAGCCACACTGGGTGTGTGAGGAGACCCTCAGAAAACCTGAAAGGAAGGTTCTATTTGGATGACTCCTGTCTCTAGCTATCCCATCTCCCTTTCTAAACCTTCCTCCCACCTCCCAATCCCCGTGCCTTCAAAACCCAGCTGACTCATTTTGTTCTTGGGACAATTCATCAACACGTTCCCCAAACTCAGACAACCCCACCTCATCTACACCTCTGTCCTGAGATCCCCTGTTGCCACCCTGGGACTGGCCAGCCCCAGCCAGGGGACCCAATCAATGTCTTTAATCCTGAGGACCCCTAAGCCTCAAGCCTGCTCTTCCGCTACCAGCCCCTAATTAGAGAAGTCTTTTTCAGTGGGACCAGCCTCCCCCAGACATTTGGGCCAGGAACCTGTGTCAACACGGGGCTCCTCCCTTGTGGGCTACCAGCCACCACATATCCTTGACTGTACCTCCTAACTTCCTCTCCAATCTATTTACCCTCCTTTTCCTCAACCCCTCCACCCCACTGTTAAGGACAGCAACCTAAAACAGTTTAATCCTGTTGGCCACTGGCTTAAATCCTCCAATGGCTTCTTGATGCACAGGATGAGGCATACGAGGTGCTCCAGGAACTGGCTCCTGCCAACTTCTTCGGCTTTCTCTTGTGCTCCCCCTCCCCCCAGGCATGTCCCTAGCACTGTGCACTTGCTTATGCTGAACTATTTGCATTTCTTTTCATGCACAATGTTCTCTTATATCCCCATGGTCTTGTACAGATGGATCCACCTGCCTGCCTGGGAGTTCTCCTCCTCCCTCCTCCCCACCCCCCCCATCTCCCCCTCAGCTAGACAAACTTCTCTGTCAAGACCCAGTTCTGGCATCAAATGTGCCACTCCCTGGCCTTTGCTATTTCTCTAAGGCTGGGTTGAGTGTGCCTCCTCCTTCGTGTTTCCAGAGCCCCCACGCCTGTCGCACAGTTTTGTGACTGTCGTGTTTCCCCACTAGTCTGTGCTTGACTTGAGGGCGGGAAGCAAGCAGGCCCTCTTCATCTTTGCCTCCCCAGCCCAAGCATGGGGAGTGGGGGGTCCCTTAAAAATGTTTCCTGAGGAGATAGCCCAGGAGCACTGATGGTCTGCCTCTGGGAAGAAACAATTTGATTCAATATGCACAGCAAGGTAGGCATGGCTTGACTCTCTGGGGAAATCTGCATCTTTTGAGAGAAGCTCGTGGGTAATACAAGGAATCTGGAATGGATGGACCAGACGGGATGCGACTGTGTCTGGTGTCTAGGTCTGTGGGCTGATCCTGGTGCCTTTAACCACCCCTCCTGGGCAGGAAGGGACTAGAAAGAGAGAGACCTTCAGGGGTGAAGGGAGGGGAGAGGAAGCCCCTCAGGGGGCATGAGAGGATGTGCAGAGAGCAGAACAGGGCTGTGAACCCTCAACCCAGTGACCCATTCTCTAGATCAAGCCTTGTCTGACCAGGCTGCACTTTGATCTCCCGGAATTTCCACTCCCCCAGCTGACGAATAGAAGGCTGATGAGGGACAGAGCAGTCCTTTCCATGGAAAACACAGCAGGCATTCAATCAGCACTGATTCAGTGGGGAAATGATCCGAGAATTGCCCCCTCATGCATCTTGGCCCCTTTGCTTTGAGAATCCCAGGCTCTCTCAGGGACCTGGCCCTGAGCAGTCTCTGGGTGAGGCTCAGGCTTGAAGAAACCCCTCTCCACCATCATTGCCCATATCCAGCCAGGCTGGATGTGTACCCAACTCCAAACCAGTGGGAGGGGGTCCCCGAAAGACCAGATCTGCTGGGAAACCACACCGTAGACACCCCTGCTCCCCGCCATGGCCACTAGTTCTTGAGCAGGGCACCCAATGGATGCCACTGGGTACCTTGGTGCCACTGGAAGGATGCATTTGGTGGGCCTTCAACTGCTGAGATAGAGATTTCCGGAGGTTTTTCTCTTTGATGCCCTGTAGGAGGGAGGGGGGAAGAAAGGGTTCCAGGCCCCATTCCTTCCTGAGAGCAGAAGAAAAGCAAGAAATTAGTGAGCGTGACAGAATGGGACAGAGAAAGGAAAATGGCAAGGCCAAAATTAGATCTGAGAGGCAGAGGGAGGGACGGAGCCTGCAAGAAAAAGAAAGAGGGATGGGGCAAGAGAAACACATTGGCCCCACCTCCCTGGAAGAAGCCAGAGCTCAAAGGCATCATGGTCTAGGTGTGAGGAACTGTCATTTTCATTCCTAGCCCCGGCCCTAAGATTCCTGAAAAGAACAGTGCAGCTCGACCTGTTGCACTTTCTCCCTCTATAGCTATCTTCTGCCTTCCCAGAGGGCCCTGTCAGAACTCACTCTACATTCTTGAGCGAGATCTTCTGACTAGGTCGAGTGGCTGAGACCGTGATATAGATGTGAAGGGCGGCGAGGTCCAAAAGCATCTCTGGCTTGGGTTCCATTCCAAAGCGTTCTCGGATAACATCGTTCCGACTCTGCAGCAGAGAGCAGTTCAAAGCCATCAGTTAAAAAAGGTGCTTGCTCTCCAGCCCTCATCCCCCGATCTACTCCATGGCACCCCAGAAAAGCATTGCAGCATAAAGTAAGACATCCTAAATAAAGGGGAAAAGGAAGTTTCTGCCCTTGGGGAAGAGGCAACTGAAGAAACTTGGCTCTCAGGGACACTATTTGCTTCATTCAGCAGATGCTGGGCAGGCTTCTCAGTGACAGATGCACACAGTGGCAGGGCACAGATGGGCAGATCATCTAGATCACTGCAAAAGTGAGACATGACACCACTTTCTTTCTTTTGTCTTGTTACAAGAGGCCTTCCTGCCTTTTATTGGAGGCCTAAACTCACTCCCCAGCCATACAGGGATCCTCTACTAGCTCAGGTGGGAATAAAGAAAGATACTGGGAGGAGCTCTCCATAGAGCTCAGACCCCAAAGCCCAGGGTGAGAGATGGACCATAGGAATGGGGCAGATATTCTGTTCCTTGAGGTCTGAAAGTCAAAAGCAGCAATGAGTCAATCTTCATAGAGAAGCCCCTAACATGACAGCCCCCAAATCCTGAAGGTCAGAGTCCCAGCTATTAATGATTCAGCCTGGGTTAGACCAATTGCCCATTTGGCTGAGGTGAAACCAGGATGAGTTAAGGGACTAAGGAGCCACAGTGGTATCACTACAGCATAGGAGAGAGTAGAAAAGGAATGCTTCATCAAGGACCATCTATGTAGAAAATCCAAGGGAGGGACACCTGGATGGCTCAGTGGTTGAGCGTCTGCCTTCGGCTCAGGTCCTGATCCCAGGATCTGGGATCAAGTTCCTCATCGGGCTCCTTGCAGGAAGCCTGCTTCTCCCTCTGCCTATGTCTCTGCCTCTCTTTGTGTATCTCATGAATAAATAAATAAGATCTTTTAAAAAAATCCATGGGAATCTACCAAATGTTTAATAAAACTGATGAGTTAGGAAGGCTGCAGGATATATTAGAAACATACAAAAATCAGTTGCGTATCTACATGCTTGCGACAAACAATTGGAAATTCAAATTAAAAGTCAAAATACCCTTTACAATAGCATCAAAAACTATGAAATCATTAGGGATAAATCTGTCAAAAATAAGTGAAAGGCCTGTATACTGAAAACTAGAACACACTGATGAAAAAGACTAAAGAAGACCAAAATAAATGTAAAAATATCCTATGTTCATGGGTCAGAAGACTCGGTATGGGGAAGATGTCAATCCTCCTCGAATTGATCTATAGATTCAACCCAACCCCAATCAAAATCACAGCAGATTTTTGGTAGAAATTGACAAGCGAATTTTAAAATTCAATGCAAAGAACCTAGAATGACCAGAACAACTTTGAAAGAACAACAAAGAGGATACATGCGACCTGATTTTAAGACTTACAAAGCTACAGTAATCAAGAGTGTGATGTTGGCATAAAAATAGATAAGTAGATCAGTAAAGAGTTCAGAAATAGACCCACACACATATATAGACAACTGATTTTTGACAAAGGTGCAATGGCAAGACAGTGAAGAAAGGAGACTCTTTTCAACAAATGTGTAGGCACAGCTGGATTTCTTTTTTTTAAGATTTTATTTATTTATTCATAGAGACAGAGAGAGAGAGAGAGAGAGAGAGAGAGAGAGAGAGAGAGAGAGAGGCAGAGACACAGGCAGAGGGAGAAGCAGGCTCCATGCAGGGAGCCCGACATGGGACTTGATCCTGGGTCTCCAGGATCATGCCCTGGGCTGCAGGCAGCGCTAAACCGCTGCACCACCGGGGCTGCCCTGGATTTCTATAGAAAAAGGAGGAGGAGGAGGAGGAGGAGGAGGAGGAGGAGGAGGAGGAGGAGATGAAGAAGAAAATTGGTCGATACCTTGTACTGCATAAAAAAAAATTGTCAAAATGGATCACAGACCTAAATACAAAATCTGAAGTACTAAAACTTCTAGAAAAAAAGGAGAAAATCTCTGTGACCCTGAGTTAAGCAAGGATTTCTTAGATATAACATCATGAGCATGATCCATAAAAGCATTATCCATCAAAGAACAAACTGAGAAATTGGATGGACTTCATCAAAATTCAAACATTTGCTTCGTGGAAGATACTGTTTAGAGAATGAAAAGAGAAGCCACAGACTGGGAGAAAAACTGCAGATAACTTATCCAACAAGCAACTTGGATCCAGGATATATAAACAAGTCTCATAACTCAGTAACAAGAAGATGAACAACCCCAATAAAAAGGTATGCAAAATATCTGAAAAGATACTTGACCAATAAAATATGTATGTTGGCAAACAAACACATGAAAAGGTGTTTAACATCATTAGTCAGTGGGAAAAGCAAGTGAGAGGAGATACTACTGAGATACCACTGAATACTATTAAAATGACTAAAAATAAATAAATACTGACAATATCGGAGAAACTGGAATGCTCATACATGGCTGGTGGGAATGTAAAATAGTATTACCACTCTGGAAGACAATATTGGAATTTCTTTTTTAAAAAATGAGAGAAAGACAGGTCTACTGTATGATCAAACCATTCCATTCTTAGGTGTTTACCCAAGAGAAAGGAGAGCATATGCCATACAAAGACTTGGGCAAGAATGTTCGTATAAGCTTTGTTTGTAGTAGCCAAAAACCTGGAAACAACCCAAATGTACATCAGTAGGTGAGCTGATAAAAACATTTTGGTACATCCATACCACATAATGCTACTCAACAATAAACAAGAATGGAGTAATGATATACACAACAACAAGGATGGATCTCAAAATCATTAGGCTAGGTGAAAGAAGTCAGACAAAAATAAAGGTATGTACAGTATGGTTTCATTTATATAAAAACTCTAGAAAATGTGGATTAATCTATAGGGATAGGAAGCAAGTCAGTGGTTGCTTGGGGGTTGGGGGCAGGGAGGAAATTACACAGAAGCTTGAGGAAACTTTTGGGAAGTACTGGATATGCTCAGTATCTTGATTGTGGTGATGGTTTTGTGCATATAGACATATGCCTAAACCCATCAAACTGTTGTTTTAAATATGTTCAGTTTATGTGTCAACTAGACCTCAATAAAGCTGTTCATTATAAAAAAGAAGAAATTACAGGTGAAGTCCCTATCATCCCGAAGGGGAGGGACAGTGTGAACGTGGTCTTGACACCAAATTCCAAAACAATTGAACCAAGATGATCCCTGGAAGCTTGGATGAAGAAATTTAGGGCCAAGAAAATGAGAACCAGACTTAAAAAATGCATAGAGGAACCACAACACATCGCCCCCAGAGTGGTGGTACAGGAGCTCAAGGCTGTTGGAGAAATGTTCCTAACATTTTAGATTGTTAGGAGGAGCAACCGTGATGCCTCACAGCACATCTGCAGGTGTTGTTGTCATAGACATCATTAGAGATGAGTTCTCAGCTTATTTTTCTACTCTTACACTAAGCACTTTGGATGTTCTGTGAGCATCTAAGACTCAACGTATCCCAAAAATGACCTTAGCTTTTCCCCCAAGCCCATTCCACTCCCTGTATTCCTTAACTCTACCAGATACGCATTGAGTCAAAGCCCACTGGTTGTACCTTTTTGTTATTTCTTGAATCCCACCCCACTCCATTCCAACCTGCCCTGGTTCTGGCCTCCATCATGTCTCCTTTGGATAACTGCAATCGCTTCCCAGCTGGCCTACTTCCTCGGCACTATGTAATATTTCAAAGTGGCTCATCTGCCTGGGTGGCTCTCCTTTTCACATTTCTGTATCCCCACCCCACAGCAGAATTTCTTTACCCCTGGCTACCCATGAGAATCACCAGAGGAATTTGGAAAATATCAACGTCTGGAGCCCATTCCCATAGATTTTGATTGATTTGGTCTTGGGTGGAGCAGGACATTTTTTTTTCAAACCTTCCCAGGGGATGCTAAGTGCAGCTAGGAGTAAGACCCACTGCCCTAAATCAGTGGCTCCCAGACACCATTGGACATCGGAATTCCTTGGATGGCTTGTTAAAAACATGGGCCTGAATCATTTTGAAGTCAGGGCCTATCAGGCCCTTCACCACCTTGCTTCCTATCTATCCCATTTCATTTCTTATTGCTCCTCACCTCACATTCTGCACTCCAAGCATAATAAATTGCTCACAGTTCTCTCACCAAACCATGCTGTTTCATGCCACCAAGGCTTTTTAGGTGCCTGCCACTTTGCCTAGAATGTGCCCCCTCCACTCTATATCCACACACAGCAAACTTCTACTTATCCTTCAAGGCCAAGAGCATGCACGCATCACTTTCTCTGTGAAGCCTCCACTGTCCTCTTCCCAAGAAGAGTTGGTAAGCTGCTTCCTGGCTGCTCTTGCTGCCACTGTACCCTGCCATGATCATAGGACCGATGCACTGTTTTATATGCACTCATGCATAGGTCTGTTGATGAGATCTAGTGGGCTGGGACAGTTCTGTGTTTATCTTGATTGTTAGCACCTAGCACAGGGCCTGCTCCAGCATGAGCGCTCAGCGAATGTTTCTAGAAGAACTGAATTGGGAATCATCTTCCTGGAGCTAGGCATGGGGGGTTGGGACCCCCTGTTACCCCAATGGGCTTTGGAAACCTTGAGATCCTGTGATGGTGACAGAGTTACAGGGGTTGCTTGCTCCCCAAAACGGATGAGATCTTTCCATACACACAGACAGAACTAGAGACACAGCCAGCTCTGGTCACCAGGCCTAAACAATGTGACCATGTGCCTACAATGGTGGCAGGAAAGGAAAGGGTCTTTAGAGCTACCTGAAGGATGGAGTACCTTACAGAGTAACTTCACAGTGATGGCAGAACTGCCTGACTGCTTATTTGTCCACTGGGCTGCCTGTCTGGGTATCCCCAATCAGACTCTACCTGGATGTACAGGTACTCAAAAGCAGCAGGATCCCGCCGCAGCAGTTCCACGGGGTCTTTGGGGAAGAAGCTGATTCGGAAGAGGCATTTCATTCCTTGGTAGTGTGTCCGCTGTACCACCTGAATCCCAGGGAGGAGAGGGGTGAGGAAAAGAGATCTGGGAATCCGTGGCTGTAGCAAGGAGAGCTGGCTTGGTGCTTCCTCAAGGCAGGGCTTGGGGCAGAGCTGGGCTGTTGCTCATCACTTCCCCCACCTGGCTCATCCCGATGATCCTTCAAGGAAAGGTCTATCCTGCCCCCCTGGTCCAAAGTGACTATAATTTTTAGATCACATCACCAGGATGTGGCCTTTATCCACAAATGGGTCTAAGGCCCAAGATACGAGGTGGGAAGAAAGGGCTCCTGGGAACTTATCCGACACTCTTCTTGCTGTGGGACTAATGCCTTTACCCTGCAGAGAGGCTCAGCACCAGCAGAGGAAGTTGCTAATGAAAAGCCAAATGGAGGTTTTAAAAGCCCAATTGGAGGTATAGGTGAGACAAGCTGGCCAAATATTGGTAACTGATGAAGCTGCCATAGGTCATGAGGATTCATGATACAATTTTTTAGACTCTGGTGTATGTTAGAGGTCTGTTTTTGTTTTTGGTAATAAAAAAGTTTAAAATTCCATTTGGAAAAAGAGACTGGTTGGACTCAAAAGGCCTCTTGGGCTGGGGGTGGGGGTGGGGAGTTGAATAGGCCTCCCTTTCAAGCTAACAATCTTCGCATTTGGCTGACGGCTAACCTTGAAGAGTTTTTCTTTCCTAAAATCCTCTCTCTCTCTCTCTCTCTCTCTCTCTCTCTCTCTCTCTCTCTGTGTGTGTGTGTGTGTGTGTGTGTGCGTGTGTGATTTTGTTTTTTGTCGCATTCACATCTCCATTTAGGCATTTCTTTTTCCCTTCCCTCACCAATCTCTTCCCTCCTCTGGGAATCCTGGTCAGCTCTGGTTTGCTTCTCTGGCTCTTTCTGGGTGCTTTACCATTGGTGAAACACTGGCCAGCATTCCTGGATTTCCCCAGCCTCTTTCTCCTACTCTGCCTTGGCAGTTGACATGGGTGACATGCTGCCTGTCCTCGGCCCCACTCAGCCCACCCTTGTCCCGGTCTTGGTGGTTTCAGTACACTCTGCTTGTTGACCTTTTCGTTTTAAAGACTGTCTGAAGGCTGAGTTTCCTCTCAGAGGCAGAAAAGTCTAGCAGGCAGGGCTTTTAGGAGGCAGGAGGCTTGACAGTGACTCACCACTCCATACCCTTCCCACTAGAGACCAAGACTCACAATCTCCATGCCCTTCCTAGGTCACGAGGAACATAGCCCAAAGCCTGCTGGACGTGGTTCATGTAGATCTTAGCTGAGAGCTATAACTTCTGTGGGCTGGCTGAGCCAATCATGATGAATTTTCCAGAAAGAAGGTACCTGGAGTCCTCTTCCCTAGTAGAGGCCACATGCACCCCTCAAGCCATGCTGAAGGAGTTACTTACATAAGCCAGGGGCTGCTTGTCCTGGAGAAGCAGGAACTTGTGATTCTGTTCCAGCCCGGCATATTCAAGGACAAGGGCAAAGTGCTCAATGCACCTCAAGGAAAGCCGGTCCTGTAATGTCACCATCACGTCCTGTGGGAGAGATGTCACCATCACGTCCCTTGAGAGGGAGACAGCTCCGTTCCAGTTCTGCGCTACTCTCAGCACCCGACATGGGAGCGGGAGACTGAACACTGAACAAGAAACATGGCTCCCAGGGAGGAGGCTAGGAAAGGGGCCAAAAGGAGACACAGGCCTTTAGGATGGCCCAGGTCTTCTCTAGGATGAGGACAGTGACCCATGAGGACTTGAGCCCTGGGGAGCACCGAACGTGCAGGAGGTAGAGGGAGGGGTTTCAGAACTTGGCCTGGCACAGGCATATGGCAAAATGTGGTCACAACCCTCCCTCCCTCCTTCTCTCCTTCCACTCAAAATGTTTTCCGAGCACATATCAAGTGAGCCACCGAATAAGGCAGGCACTATGCTGGTTCTCCCTTCACCTTCCCTAAGCCGGAATGTTCTCTCTAGTCTGTCTACAAACCCTTTTCTCAGGAACTCACAAATTAAGGGCCATAGTCATGTGATTAAAAGTAGACTCTTTCTAGATTCAGAATCTAAATTGAATGACTTGAGTTACTGGCAGAATGTTCATTTCTTTTTGTTTGTTGCTGGCTTTCAGAGGTAATCAATTTAGCGACTTGAAAAATGTGTCCGCGCAGAGGCACTGTGTCACGTGTCTTGTGTACAGTAATAAATCTGACTTTTTCTGGGCTCTGTCTGCTCTGCTGCCCTACTTTTAATATTAGGATGTCTGCAAACATATCCTTGGGGGCTGCCCAGATGTCAGTTTTGTGACTTCTGCCATCTATTTGCTGGGACTTCAGCATACTCGAGGCTGCAGTATGTGTGTGTATGTGTGTATGTTTGCCTGTATGTTCAGGGAGTCAGCCCAGCTCAGCCCCTGGAGGCCAGAAAGAAGCCCCCTTGGGAATGAGAAACTCCCTTACAGCCAGGGTTGCCAAACAAGCCCCTCAGTGAATATTAAAAGACGCTAAGCCATTCAAATGTGAGGCTGGACACTGGTGGGTACTTGAGAGTATTTCTTTGTATCATCCAAGTAGCCACAGAGGTGCCAGTATTGCTGGAGCTCTGGCAGGGACAAATGAGGTTTTCTTTGCAGTTTAACTGTGCTAGAATTGTGGATGGCCAAGCTGGTGATTGCCAACTGGTGTTACAAGTGGAACAGCCCCCGTGCCAGACTGTCGATTCACCCAGGTACCTCTCTGGGACAAGTGGCTTGGCAGCTGCTCCATGTTCCATGAATGGCCAGTGTGTGTTCCTCCCCTGAAGTAAGGGTGAGATCACAAGTCAGGGGATACTGCTGTCCTGGAAGGCTGGGGCTACCTGGAAGCAACAATGTCATTGTGTCACAGTGTCATTGCAAGGTGGGGGAAGAAGCCTGGGCCAGGCCAAGTTCCAAGGAGCAGATGTTCTGGGATGGAGACAGATCTACAAGGGACATACTGGCCCATGAATAAACACCACGAAGGATTCTGCTGCAGAGAGATATCCATATCTGGGGGAGGGGCATGTGGACACTCCTGGGTGGCCTGGTAGTGCTTCAATGTCCCTCCCATAGACTGAGACCTCCAATAGGCAAGAGGCCATCCCAGGAGCCCCTAAGGAATATATTTTGGTCTGGGGCCCCTTGGGGGACCCACCCAGGCCTAAGCCTTCCAAAGAGACTCTCAGTTCAATCCACACGGGTTAGGCCCAGTATTGTATGACTTGGGTGCTATTGGCACTTTGGGCAGGACAATTCTTCATCATTCAGGGACTGTCTCACTCCCTCCAGGGCACTCAGCATCTCTGACCCTGAGACACTCAATGCCAGGAGCACCATAAACCATGTGATGACCCAAAATTCCTAAATGATGTCTGGGAGGGGAATGGCAACTCTGGCTGAGAACCATTGGCAAGGCCAACTCTGAACACCTGATAATTCCTCTTAGAGAAGTTTCCTGGCTCAGGGGTTTATTTATAGTGTTGTCTTGGCCACAGCCTGGGGACTTCAGGATGACTATTAGCCAAGGTGGGTTTTCTGGCAGCTGCTATTCCACTGGTTGCATGGAAATTCATTTTGGGGAATGGCATTCTCTTTCTAGATGGAGTCCAGAAGGAGCAAGAGTGGTTACTTCTGTCCCATTTCAGAGTTGAACCTGGGGTTTCATCGTTTCATTGCCTCTCTTCCTCAGGACTAAGGGAACCACTACAACTTTCAGACAACTAGCTGAGCTCTTAAGAACAGCTCAGTAACTGCTCTTCCTATGAAAGGAGTAGCCAAAGGAACTGTTGCTGGACGTTTCACATGTTGGTTTGGTGTTTAAGATCTGGTTGTTATTTAAAAAGTGAAGCATGGCTAAGCTAATCTCCCAAGAGATTGTGTTTGTTGATTTCTGTGTGTAAGCGTGTGTAGGTGTTATTGTAGCAATATAAATCACTTTTGCTTTATAAATGTTTTAATGATCTTCACACTCCTTAGCTCCTCAGAGTCTTGAAGGATCCCTTATAACACTGACACAAAGGAGTTCACAAGTGGGAGTGTACAAACATGCACTCATGCCTGTGCATACATGTGCAGGCATGCATGCATATGCACTCACACATACACACACACACACAGTTGCGCACTCAGGTCTCCCCACCCCCACCGCCCGCTCATCCAAGGGCTGTGTGTTCTTGCAGCCTGGGGCTCACAGAGGCAGAAGTTCAAAGGCCACCTTGCTTCCCAGCAGCAATTCTGTGCAGACTCAGGGACACCCATGAACCAGCAGCCTTGTGTGCCCTAGAAAGGACAGATGCTAACCCGAGAGGTGAGACCCTGTATGTACCTTAACAGTTGTCCGGCCATCAAAAGTGAATGATTTGATCTGCCCATTTTCTAAGAAAACCTTCAGGACGTTGGGGATGAGGAGAAGAGCTTCTTTCTTCATCATTTTCTGTGAATAGGCAGGAAAAGGTCAAGGAGAAGGGCTCATTTAGAAGGCAGAGGGGAACCAGAGATGGGGTATAGAGAGGAAGAGAATGGAGCAAGGGAAGGAGACAGGGAGCCACAGATATGGAAGGACAGAGAGACAGAGGAAAGAACAGATCAGTGACGATGTCACCTGCAGACCAGAACCAAATGCTCTCAGAAAACACTGGGCCATGTCAATAGTTAATCCTTCATTTGATATCACGGCACACCCCCATTTTACTGTGACTCAAAATTCCACAACATAGGGTGGTGCTTGGTCCTCAGAGACCAGATGGAAGGCCTCCTTAGGACCCACCTCACTTGCCTGCTCTTACGTCCTGACTCTTCCCATTCCACCAGGCTCTTCACACCCAGAGATCACATTCATGTTCCTGCCTTTGTGCTGCCAAACTCCCTCCTCTCCCGTCTCCTTTCTGACCTGGCCCCTGCCTACTTCTCCAGAGTCCTGTCTTGCCAGGATTGTACCCACCTTGCTCTTCCATGCCTCTATACCTGTGACAATCATTCAGGGACTGTGTCACTCCTTGCAGGACACTTAGCATCTCTGACCCTGAGACACTCAATGCCAATAGCATGCCAAGTCGTTGGGATGACCCATAACCCCTCAGACATTTCCAAAAACTCTCTGAGCATGCACAGTACTCATCCTGATTGAGAACCACTTTGGCAAAGCCTGTTTTTGAACACCTGATAACTTCTGAGCAAAAGTTTTCTTGGCCCAGATGTTCCTTTATTTATAGAGTGTTGCGTGTTAAGCTCTCAATAAATATTTGTTAAATAAAGACTATTCTCTCTGCCTTCCTCTTTCCCTCCTTGGCAAACTCCTATTCATCCTTCAAAACCCAGCTTAAATAAAAATTCTGTACAGTCCAAACTCATCAGGTACTTGGACCTGGTGTTCCCATGTGTTCTCATAGGAACGTTATACACACCTCTTTCAGTGTTCTTAGTGTATTTTTGAGGAATGTTTGTCTTTCACAAATGGTGACCTTGGAGCACATCGATGTCCTATTTAATCTTTGTAGTTCTGACATTGAGTGGAGTTCCTGGCACAGTTGGTGCTCAATAAATGGCTGCTGAATATATGAGCAGTAGATGCTTAATATGTGCTTACTTGAATGATAAGAATTATTAAGAGAATCTAATCATTTCCCTGGGCTATCACCAGTTTTGTAGGAACTGAAAAGCTGCATAAGATGGCCAGAAATCCTTAATTCAGTGGGCATTCATTAAGCCTCTTGTGTACACTCCACACCACGCTAAGTTCCATGAGGATCAGGCGAAAATAGAGGACTGGGTTTGGTCTTATACTCTTATTGCAGTGATCTGGCACACACACACATGAATCCACTAGAGACCAATTATAAAACCAAAACCAAACAAACAGGTAAGATTTCCTAGGTGAGGTGAATTAAATTTTGATTTTGAAGGAGATGAAAGGCATAGACTATTAGAGATGCCAGAAGAGGGAGAGTCCACATCTAGGGACTGTCGTGGACATGAAAAAATAAACAAGCAAGTCCTCCTGGGTCAGGGTTTGGTTGGTGGTGGTGGGGATCCAGAAGTCAAACCATGGTAGGAAGTGATGGGGTATAAAGTTGGAAAAGTATGAATTCCTGGTTCTCTCCCTGGTCCTGAGATGCCTTGCTCCTACCAAGCCCAGAGGCCCTGGATCCCCAGGCTGGTGACACTCAGAGGTGGCAGGTTTTATTTAGCACACTGGGTTGGGCTCAGGTAATTACTTAATTGATTTTGCTTAAAAATAGAGTTGGCAAGGAACGCCCACAGGATTTATTTCTGCTCTGGCTGCTTAATAAAGCCCCAGAACACCATGGCCAAGGGATAATAGGACAGCCTGGAGTTACCTGGGCCTGGACTCCCCTAGGTCCCAACCAATGGTGAAGCTACTAGAGTCTACACTGGAGGCATGGGAGGCTGGGGGTGGTGACATCAGGTAATTTCCTGAGCACAGCTAGAGTGGGAAGATTGATGTCCATCTCATTCATATTCATATTCTCTCTCTCTCTCTCTCTCTCTCTCTCTCTGTCTCTCTCTCTCTCTTAGATAGGAGCCTCACACTGCACTTGCTGGCCTGTCCAGGAGCAACGGAAGTAACCCTGGGTGGGTCCTAGCCACTCTGGGGCATTTGCTTTTAGGTTGGTCTGGAGTTGGGGCTTGATCGGTCTGTGTATAGCTGCAATGTATGGAAAGGGGAGTCATGGTGTAGGAAGAGGAGAGTGGGGAAGAAAGAGTAGAGGGAAGAGGCAGAGATGGGAAGAAAAAGGGAAGAGAGAGATGGAGGCGAGGCTTTCATTGGTGGCCTGGTCTTGACTGATTGCTCTGTAAGGCTGAGAGGGAATAGTTTGTCCTTTCCAAGTTCAATCTGCTTTTCCTCTGGCTTCTCGAGGGCTCAGAACACAAATGTCCCCTCAGTGGCTTTGATTTAACTGTGTTCTTCACCATGATCTCCAGGGCTTCTGGACTGTTCCCTCTTCTCTCTGCTCACCACCCCCTACTTCTCTTTAGCTTCTTCTGTTAGGGCTGACATGGAGCCCAAGCACCAATTATTTGACAGCTTCCCCAGTGGGACCCTGTAGAGTCCCCTGGGCTTCCAGCTTTCCTTATATGGGGATGGAAGATGGCCTGGACTGAGTTGGGGGATGAGTGCCAGGAAAGAGGAGATGGAAGACACCTCTGTCCTCTAACCCTTCTTCTGAGTAGCTCTGCTTCAAGGGACTACAGAAGTGCCTGGCACCCCACTGGTTTCTACTCAGGCTGGGCCTGCTGGCTTTCCTCAACTGCAGCTGTGCCTCTGTACAGAAATGCCATGGGCCTCCTGAGAGCCCAGCCCACAAAAACCTGCAAAAGCATACAAATGCCTGTTAGCTCTGGCTCTCTCTGTCCTCACCCCCACTGGCTATCACAGGCTTCTGCAGACTCCTGGGGGACTCCGGCCATAATCCATGCCTGCTTAACACACACCTCTCCGCTCTCCACCCATCTCTTCTCATTTGCTTATCTGGAGTGGGCAGCTCAGCTCATGTACATCCCACAGAGCAGTAAGAAAGATTGCGGGCTGGCCATGACCCTCACAGCCCACCCCCACTCCGACCCAGCCTGGCAGCTATAAGGCACAAACCATCAAGCATCATCCACTCCTTGAAACCATACCCTCAGTGTGGGATTCCGTGTTATCTCAATCTGAACTACTTCCCCCCAACCCCCCAACATCACCAAGTGGTATCCAGTGGCAGGGAACAGGTGTTTATTTTGCATCCCTAATCAAAGCTTTGTGACAGTGAGAGTCTAGTCTGTATCATTTCCCCCAGATTGCTTGCTGGTGTCTTCTCCAGTCAAGACATGCCATTGCAGGATCACTTCAGTGTGAAGAGGGCTCAATTTCACCAGCCACTCCTTGCTCTGGATCTTCAGAAAACCATTACCTCCTTCCCGCCTCTATCAAATAGCCCAGAGATGTTTGTGAAGTGCTTGCTCTGAGTGCATGCTACTGTGCTACAGATGGGGATTTCTCTAAGCACCACGAGAATCCTAAGCAAAGTGATACAGATTCTGTGTCCCTACAGTGCTCAGGGCTCTTCTGGATGCCACATACTCCTCTAACTCACCACCAGCCTGGAGCCCCGTGATACTCTGCTTCCAACCCGTTCATAATACCATCCACCCCGAGTAGCAGCAGATGAGTACCTGCTCCAGAGCCAGACCTCCATGGCCAGGCTGATTCTAGGCAAGGGCCGAGGACAGGGAGCTAAAGCTGCACTTACTGCGTCTGTGTCTCCAACTGCCACCTGCTCAGAAAATCGGACCTTCGCAGGATTCCATCTTAGCCTGGCCTTCTTTGCAGCACTGATGAAGGCAGATTTGGGAGACTGGAAAAAGAACAGAGGGCCGGTGAGTTCTCTATCCCTGGGAAAAACCTGACCTTTGCCACGCTGGAGTTAAGATGTCTCAGTATAGGTACACTTTGCCTTACTGATCCATAAGTCAATAAATACCTATCGATTCCCTATTAGGTGCAAGGCAATGTGCGAAGTGCTTCCTTCTATGATTGGTGTGTTCTGAAAAGGCCGGGCATGAATTGAATTTGGGTAAACTGAATCCCATAATGAACACTCCAGGCCTAGGGGAGTGCACAAAAATTATCTTGTAATGACGTACACTGAATTATTATATATTTGGTTTTCGTAGTGTGAGATAAACAGTGGTGGCTTTTATTACATCCAAATATGAGCATCTCAAAGGATTTACAGAAATGATCTTATTCATCTCAGAGATATGCCCTGCCCCTAGGAAGGAGATTATAGAAAATAATTCAAGGAAAATCAGGAGTCTTGCTGAGGGTCCCCCACCATGTCTTTGGGGGGCATTTATTCATTCATGTGACACATTTAGGGAAGACCTCCTATGTGCCAGGCACTGTTCTAGGTGATGAGGGATTCAGAAGTGAACAACACAAAGCTCCTAGCCTCAAAGAGCATCCATCTAGCAGGAAGAGAGACAAGAAACAAATCAATATCCTATTTTAGGTGGCAAATAAGGACCCTGAGGACAAATCAAGCAGGGTGAATCAGGACTACACAAGAGAAGGTACGACTGAGCGGGGTGGGGTAGCAATGGGGGTGAGATCTCTCAGAGGAGGTGACATTGCAGCAGTGACCGGAAGCAAGTGAAGGAGAGAGCCATGTGGTACCTGGAGAAAGAGCCTCCCAGGCAGACAGAATGATAAAGGCTCCATGGTGGGAGGAGGGTCAGGGTGCATGAGGAATAGCAAGGAAGCCTTGTGTGGCCAGAGCAGGGCGATGAATAGGGAGCCAGAGAGGTTTTGCTCAGAAGACATAGCTAGGGGCTGGATCATGTAGGGCCTTGTCAGCCATGGCAAGAACTTTGGTTTTTACTCCACCGGAGGGCTTTAAGCAGATAGGATCTGACTTGCATTTTATTTTTATTTTTTTAAGATTTTATTTATTTATTCATGGGAGACATGCAGAGAGAGGCAGAGACACAGGAAGAGGGGGAAGCAGGATACCAGGACCCCGGGATCATGACCTGAGCTGAAGGCAGATGCTCAACCACTGAGCCACTCAGGTGTCCCTGACTCGCATTTTAAAAGGATACCTCTGGCTGCTATTTGGAAAACAGTATAGGAGGGTTGACACCCAGAGCAGAGTGACCAGTTTGGAGTCTCCTGTAATAATACAGCTGAAATATGATGGAGGCTTGGGCTAGGGTAGTAATAATGGAGGCAATGAAAAGAGTAAATTTTGGCTCTATTCTGAAGATAGAACGAGCTGATGTGTTGACGGATTGGATGTGGGAGGTGTGAAAAAGAGAGGAGTCAACTGGAAGAAGGGAGCTGCCACTTACGAAGAAGAGGAGGACTAGGGGGGTACATCAGATTTGGGACCCCTTCAAATCACCTCCCCTACCGGCTTTGTCAGGGAGCCTTGGAGTCCCACAGTCAAGAAGGCCCCTGCCAGCTGGGAAGGGGATACATTAAGTTCTTTTCTGCCATTTTTTGAAAGATTTTATTTATCTATTCATGAGACACACACACACACACACACACAGAGGCAGAGACATAAGTAGGTAGAGAAGCAGGCTCCCTGTAGGGAGCCCGATGTGGGACTCAATCCCGATCCCGGGACTCCAGGATCATGCCCTGGACTGAAGGTAGGCGCTCAACGGTTGTGTCACCCAGGCATCCCTCTTTTCTGCCATTAATGTTGCAGTTGAAATTCAGTTACCAGATCAGCCACAAGGGCAGGGCCCTAAGATAAAGGCACACCAGAAACAAATGTCCTCATCAGGTCTGGGGCCCTGGTCCCAGATGTGTTCTCTTCCAGAGCCAGCAATCTCATTCTCCCTAGAGGGCAGTTTGCAGAGAGCCACCTGTTCAACCTGAGTCCACCTCAGGCAGTGGGTCTCGGTCCGGGCTATGTGGCAAAAACAGGGGAGCAGCTTTCAAAACCCCTGATGCTTAGGTCCTGCCCCAGATCAATGACATCAAATTCCTGGGGCTGGAGCCCAGGTATTGGCATTTTTTAAAAAAGTTTCCAATGATTTCAAAATGCAGCTAAGTTTGCGGGGACCCGCTGAGCTAAAGGAACCATAGACTTTTCATCCTGAGCCACAGGGGCAGTTTGTTGGCAGCAGACGATATAGCACAATGAAATCCAGGGCTAGAGATCATTGCAGAAAGTGATTACAGTATTGATTGTTCATGGGGGTCAAGAAATGCTTTTGTGTGTTGTGCAGTGTGGTGCTTAAATCCTGGGCAGGGGCTGCAGGCCGAGGCAGAAGCACAGGGAAGGGGCAAGACGGAAAGATCTGGAGCTACATTCAGGCAGCTCTACTTGGCTCTGTCTCCACAGTAGTCCAAATTTCCACCTGAGGTGCCACAGACACCCGGCAGGTGAAATCTTCCTTTCTACCTATCCCTATCACCACCTCCTTTATCTGTAATCATCCAGCATCGATGTCTTCATGCACTGTGTGGAATGAGGCATCTCTAGAGGCCTTCAATGGGCCATGTAGCCCACCCTTCATTTTTTACGCGTGAAAACAGGGACCTGGGGGCGCCTGGGTGGCTCAATCAGTTAAATATCTAACTCTTGGCTTTGGATTAAGTCGTGACCATAAGATTATGGGATTGAGCCCCAAGTCGGGCTCTGTGCCTAGCGCAGGGTCTGCTTCAGATTCTCTCTCCCTCCCACTAACTCTCTCTCTCAAATAAATAAGTAAAAATCTAAAAAGAAAGAAAGAGAAAGAAAGAAAGAAAGAAAGAAAGAAAGAAAGAAAGAAAGAAAGAAAGAAAGAAAGAAAACAGGCCTAGGAAGAGGATATGGTTTGCTCAAAGTACCAAAATAATTTGGTAGAGGAGCTGAAATGTTCTAGAACCCAGATTTCCTGCATCTTGGATTGGCAACTATGCCCCACAACCACCTGAAACTGGGTGTCCATTCCTGATCTTTCACTCACTGGTTCTGGTTCGACCCTGGTCCTATTGAATGGACCTGTGAACACATGAAGAAGCGCAACTGGTATCCTTTTATGTCTTCACCTATGAGGAGGGGACAGGCTCCTTGAAATCCCTACCAAAAGTCCCAGATTGGATCCTGCCCTACCTACAGATACCACTATAAACAAAAGATTCAGATATTTATAGGAGCAAAATTATGAAGGAAGAAGTGGGATTGCCAATCTTTTCAGGGACTGTAATCATTTCTTATGTCTGTGGTAGAGCTATTTTCAGCTTGTTTGTGCCTCGTTCCTCATTGACCCTTGTCCTGTCCATCTCGAACACTCCATCCTATTCTGTCTTCAGCCTTGATCACTGACGGTGACACATTCATTGCCAGCTGGTCTCTGCTACATGTCACGGAGTCATGTCTAGCCTTATGCCTCCACACAGGTGATGTCTGCCTTGCAGTGTGATATGAGGGGCTCTCAAAGGTCACCCTGTTCCAAAGCATCTTTGAAGTTCAACTATGGGGCCTGAAGTTCTTAATGCTAGGGTCACCCTTGTGAATGAAAATATGAGAACTGGGAATGTGCAGATCAAAATGTGGATGTGATACAAGGGAGGAGTAATGAACTTAATTCTGGGGACAGCAGACTGCGGGCCTGCCTGGGCTAAATCCTGCCCACCACCTGTTTTTGCAAATAAAACTTCATTGGAATACAGCTGTGATCTTCCTTTATGCACTGCTTATGGTTGCTTTTGCAACTATCATGCATGGCCTACAAAGCTTACAATATTTGCTAGACAGTCCTTGACAGAAAACATTTGCTGACTCCTGCACTAGCTCGTTACCATACCCTCACCCCACCATTTCTTTTTTCCAAGATTTTATTTATTTATTCATGAGAGACACAGAGAGAAAGAGAGAGAGGCAGAGACACAGGCAGAGGGAGAAGCAGGATCCATGCAGGGAGCCCAATGTGGGACTTGATCCTGGGACTCCAGGATCACACCCTGGGCCTAAGGCAGATGCTCAACCACTGAGCCACTCAGGCCTCCCTCACCTACTGTTTCTAAATTTTTTCTGATGGTAAGAATCCCTGGGGAGTGCTTGCTGAAACACAGATTTATAGGCCTATGCCGGACTTAAAAACTCAGAACCTCTAGGAGTATAAAGCACAGGAATTTATATTGTTGAAAATGTCCTAACCCATTAAGCATAGATTAATTGAGTACTCTCAAGCTGGGACATCTAAACTCTTCACTGACCCCATTTGTCCTGCAAGCAGTTGGGAGTCTCATTTTGCAACAGGCACCCTTGCCAACAAAAATGAATTTTGGCTGGAAACATGAGACCAGAATCACGAAGCACCACCGGGGCCACTGCAAGCCCCTTGAAGCAAATATGTGGCCAGAAGCTCAGTGGAATAAGCAATAAGAGGAGAGAGTCTGACTCTCTCCCAGGACTGAATTCAGCAGCTGGTGATTCTCTGACCATTTTTTATTGGTGGCTCTATTAGTACAGATTTCAGGGTTGTGTTCAAAGTCAGGTATATGGCCCAACATTTTCGTGCAAGATAGGGCCCCATTTGGATTTTGAGAGGACAAAGCTCAGGTTCCTGAAGCTGACAGCCTCTTATCCTCCTTTATGTTTATTCATTGTCTTTGACACCTGAGCCTACTTATAAGCAATTCCCATAGCAACCACTGGGAGTTGGGGATGATGGAGAGACATCTTGGTTTCACCAGACTACTGATGAGGGACCCAGGG